CACAGACTTTAAGAAAGTGTTTGAAAAGCTGGACAATGATATACCACTCGTGCTCTTGGGTATGACCTCTCATATTACAAATACTTTAGTTTCTTACTAAATCTCTCTCTCTCTCTCTCTCTCTCTCTCTCTTCATAGGAGGGAATCACGACTTTCTGAACAGTCCTACCGTGGAGTCGGTGACGGCCTATAAGACTACGTTCGGCGACGACTACTTTACCTTCTGGATCGATGGCGTTATGTTTATTGTGATTAACGTTCAGTTTTATAAAGACAACACTCATGTGAAGGGCTTGTATGAGGAACAGGAGGTTTGGATTGACAAACAATTAGCTGAGGCCAAGAGTGGTAATTATAAGCACGTGATTGTCTTTCAACACATCCCGTGGTTTCTGCGAGATATTAACGAACCGTTGGATGAAATGGTAATTATATTAAACTATTATATTTTTATAAAAGTAGCCAATACTGTGCACCTAATGCACAATTATCTTATAACCAGTTATTATTAGATATGAAATTAATTGTATTATTTTAATAATCATAAGTATTTGAGTGATTAAAGGCTCAATTTTGCGATTTTATTCAGATATAATACAGAAAAATAGATAAAAACAGATAATGTTTTTTAATTGTTATAATTAATTCGAAATAAGCAAAAATTATCCTGATAAACATTAATAATTTAGTTTTACAGATTTTTTATTGTGTTAATAACACTGCGCTGATAGCAATAGAGTTATAAATTAAATTACTAGTTGCTAGATAGTTTATTTCCTAAAATACTATGATTAAAGTGATTAACTTTATTTATAATGTAATATAAAGTAATAGAAGTTTTCATTATAAATAATCACTAAAAATAATATATGAAACTGCAGTTCAACATCGAGAACACTACCCGACACCGGATGGTCAGTAAGTTTCATGAGGCGGGAGTTCGCGCCATATTTGCCGGCCATTATCACCGCAACGCCGGCGGTAAGTACGAGGACCTGGAGCTTGTGGTCACCTCTGCTATCGGCGCCCAATCACCGGAGGGACGCAATGCCGACAGTGGGTATCGGGTGGTGACCGTCAATGAGACGGATATCACTCACCGATACGTTAACATCACAACCAGTCATACAAACTCTGCGTTTGATTTCAACGCCTTTCGGCTAATTTTGTTGATTTTTGTCGCTTTTGTTATTAAGAAGTTTGTTATGAATTAAAACATTATTTTTTAAATGCTATTAAATATTTACATAAATAAATGTTTTTAATTTTAAAACTATTATAATGTATTTTATTATAAAAACTTGAAAAATGCTAATATGTTTAGAAGTAAAAATATTAGAGTCATTATTTTTAATCGATAACTACCATGTTTAATGTAATTATAATTTATTGTAGTGTTGTTTGTATGAGAACTACAGAATAGGTTAATATGAAAGCCATACACGATATGAATGTTTTGCTATTTATTTCAAACGTATTCATTGCCGATAAACACAGTTTCATATCAAACGCCTCGATTTGCATGAGTAGTAACCGTTCGTTTGCTGCCATATTCCCGGAACAATACTTATTCTCTAATGTTTCAATTAATTTTCGGAACTCCAGTTTTATTAAATGTGGTAGGTAGCATACAAGGAATAAAATTAAAATATTGTAAATTAGCGATGCAATTGGCTGTATTATGTCTAAATATAATGCTAGTGCTATGGTGCACAGGGAGGATATGCAACCTACTGAGTACACAAATATTTCAACAGCAAAATACAATGAAAATACCTCGTTAAGTTTATGTACAGATCTATATATTCTATGTAAATTTTGGTATATAATTGGTAATGAAATATTAGTATAATTGTCGGGAATATGTCTAATTTCTAGGGAAATCATTATGCATTTATAAATCATCAATGATAATAAATGAGCTTGATTATTAATTGATATGAATAATAGAAATCCATTGAATACAAACATGTGTATAGTTAAAGTGGGACTGGTCATGTTAAATATGTACATGTTATATAAAACAACTGATGTTGCCATTAGGCTAGTAATTAATTGCACACAGGTAATATATATACCAATTTTGCGTTCAATTCTCGGATTGATTGTAACATTTGTTTTTAATAACAGTGAGTCCAAAATAGGCTTTCCCTTGAATATTGTATAGAGGCATATAAATAATGATTGAGACATATATGCTATATAACCAATATTTATTGTGAAAAACACCAAGATTGTTTTACGCGAATTTAGCGGACTTTTAATATGGTCTATTATCATGGATTTCAGTGAATAATATGTGAATCCCACGAACATTATTAGCCAGGTAAAATGCCATAATTTATGTAGTATACGTGCAAAACCATGAGCTGTGTGACCCCAGTATGTCGTACCAGTTACTTTGTGAAAAGTTAATATTATATTTAAACCATGTTGAATTTTGTTTGACATGTTGCATAAAAATTTGATTTTATTATAAAGCGGTTTTTTAGAATTATAAACTTATTTATTATAATAATATGTAATAAATAATTAACAATTGAATAAAATACAATAATACTTTATAAATAATATATTTTTATATAATATTAACTATTATGACTCAGAAATAAGTGCTGTTATAATAGACTAACAATAAATAAATGTATACGTATCACAAAAATTAATTTTTGAAAATAAATTGAAACATTTAATTAGATAAAAGTTGTGATATTTACTTAACTAGCTAAACATTCACTTTCATTAGTATGGTTATATTTTTATGTTATGTAAGCACAAAATATTTACAATAATTTTATATTTATGATATATTTTAATAATATTATTCATGAAATTCTCATATTAATACAAATATAAATATAATTTAATAATTAATACATTTATTGCAGTGTTGTTTGTATGACAACCACAGAATAGGCAATAATGAAAGTCATACACGATATGAATATTTTGCCATTTAATACAAACAAATTCATTGCGCATAAACTCATCCTGGTCTCAAATGCTCGTATTTCCAGAAATAATATCCTGTCGTTTGTATCCATTTTTGTTAAATATAAATCCTCTAATTTTAAAATCAATTTTCTATAACTTTTTCTAATAATATCGGATAATAAACAAACACACAATAGTAGCCCTACCCCACCAACCAGTGAGACCAGCACCTGGATCAATTCTTTATAAATACCCAGGGCTAGTGAGCACAGGCATGATATGGTTACCACTGAATAGGTATATAATGATACAAATAGGTACATGGATATTAGCTCATTGAACTTATCTACATTTTTAACAACCTTGTAGATTTTATAATATATTACTTTAATATTTAATTCTGAATTAATTTCCAGAATATTCTGTAATTCATTTGATAGCATAAAACATTTATACGCCAATATTGATAATAAACTTGACAAAGTATTGCTTGCTAATAATATTAATAATATATTTGCAATTATAACCGTATTGTTATTTAACATGTTATAAATATATGATGATATTATCATTGATATGGCCACGGTCACTACCACAGCATATTGAATGCACGCAATTAATATACCAAGTTTACGTTCATATATAGGGCTAATATACCCTGGATAATCGTGTGGTACAATACTGTCCAAAATAGATTTTCCCTTGATTAGATTGAACAAGCTTACAAATAGAGCCTGGGTTATAAATGCCAAGAATTCAGCATTCAGCGTAATAAATAGCAAGGTGGATTTACGCTGTTCAAGTCCGTTTGTATCCAGATTAGACACGACGATACACGATAATATCGTAATTATTATTAACATTATTATATGCCATGCTACTTGCACTAAACGTATAGATTTGAGTGATTTATTATACTGAGTTATTGTAGCACCAGAGTAACTCAGACCGGTTAATTTGTGCAAGTATATTAGGATATTAATTCCAGATTGTGAGGTTTTGGACATGATCACTTTTTAATTTAATTTAAGCTTTATTTATGAATAAAATTGAAAATATCTACATTCTTAACAGAATATGATTATAAAAATAAAATAATAAAATATGTCACCAATAGTTACTAAATATCTTATTATGTTTCATAATGGATTTATTAATAAGTAATCATTGATATAAGTGTTACGCAAATATACTTAACAATATTAATTAACATTTTGAGTGAGTTTAGATACAAATATAATTTTATTTTGACAAAAATTAATAAGAATTATTCACATAACAAGTACTGTATGATTACATTGTTTAATAAATTGGTAGTTGACCAGTGATACCACCGAAAACATTACGGTCAATACAAATGCAGTGACAACTTTGTATTCCCCTTTGTGGTCCCCTTTGCGAACGTTATATATAATAGGATTTCTATGGCAGGGGTTCCCCCGATTTTGAGACACAATTGCAGGCCTTTTACGAGCGAAACAAATGCCACACTTTAATGGCGTTTGACATGATAGCTGAGATCCAGTGGATGGTGGCCTACATCGGGAACCACTGGTCGGACTGTCCGCTCGTGTTTTCACACCTGGACTTCAGAGGGGCTAACATTATGGTCACTGAACATAATGGACTCGTTTTGTGTGACTTTGATTACTCCGCTTATGGGAGTCGGGGATCAGATTTCGGCACATTTTTCGCCACTTTTATCACAACTACTCATGGCTTTGGAAATGGGTTTCCGTTGGAATCGGTTATCAAGAAATTTATCGGCGATTATGAGGACGAATGCCGTCAACTGTATGGACACGACTACGGTCTCAAAGAATACAATTCCGCCGATTATATGCTAAATGAATGCAAATTCTTTGTTTTGGTTTACTTTCTGTTCAGTCTATCAGTGTTTAGCGATGAAAAGAGTAGAGAGGAAAGCCGTTTGGGTGACAACACTTGTGCTATGATTATGCAATCAATACTGTATTTGTATAACTGTTTGAAAATCATATTGATTTGAATGCAATATTCATTTATATAATAAATAATTTTGTATTTTGCTATTTATATTGTTTTCTAATTTCAAATGTAATATTAAAAAAATTATGATTTGATAAAATTGTAATAAATTCTAATTGTTTATACTTAAAGGTATAATTTTAAAAAAACCTATTTCAAAACGAGTCCGAAATTATTTCTGTGATTGATCTTGTACTAATTTGTTATATCAAATAGTTTAAGCTGCTTTATTCATAATATTCTTAAAATTTAATTTTTTATTTTATTTTATAAATTCCGTATTCTTTCTACTAGTAAATAGTAATTAATTAATTATTTTATATGATAGAATTTTATATCATAAGTACGATAATTATAATTAATAAATGAGAAAATAAAATACAATAAAAATTACGTTGACAATCCCCAAAGTTGTGGCTATAAAATGGTGAAAGGTCATTAGGATAGGGATAGGATTATCCGTTTGAGTAATAAATTGTTATTTGAAAAAGATAGCTAATTCCATGGGTTTATACTGGTAATATACCGACAATTCATACAATGTTGTTTATATACAAACTAACCATATCAGGCATTCATTTAATTAATATATAAAAACAAAGTTTTCAAAACCTTATATATTAGAGCTGTTTAAATATCGCATTTTCCCATTGATAGATGCCATTGAAAACAGTTATGTTTTGTATGATTATTTGCAATGTTTTCAATGGCATCTATCAATGGGAAAATGCGATATTTAAACAGCTCTAGCACATTTATTTGTAATGATAATTGAAATTTTTAAAATGTTAGTCAAATCCATATCTTGAGCTCTGTCTAACACTGTAATTAGATTTGCGCTAAGACTTGTAGTATTCCCGCTATAAAATGCATCCCTTTCCTCCCGGTGCTACAAATTAACAAAATATTTTTAATTTTTATATGATTGAGAATTATATTCTCTACATTTTCCATATCATAACTTTGCAATACACATATTGATTAATTTTCTATAATTACTTAAAGATGTGATTTGTTGAAATACCCGGCCTCCCTGTGCTCTAACCATTAGGTTAGGATACAAACCATTGACACCATGTATCCTTAGAATTCTAC